AGAGAAAGACAGACATGAGAAGGAAAGTGAGAAAATCACCCCCAGGGGAGATAGCCATGCCACAATCTCTTCTCCTCCATTCTCCTCCCAGGATCTTGGGCACACATGCACATGTGCCCAGCATGATTTTCAAGCCACTGGATCAGGGACTCGAACCATGATTGACCATGTGGGAGTCCACTGACGTAATGCTATGCCATCTATCGGTCCCAATATGTGATCCTTTTAGTTCCATCTCCCAAACTCTCAAAAACCCAGTGCTTGGTGCAGCTGTGGTATTATAGGCAGTAGGATACTGCTATGGTCATACTGGAAGGGGTCATACTGGAAGGCCCGGAGTTTAGATCATGAACACCAGGCAGGCCCACAGGTGCTACAGCGCTAAAGAGGATAGTAGCATGTTAATGCCTTGTAGGGGAGCGGGGGGCCTGTCTTTCTCTCTCTATTAAGAGAGAAGTAAACTTTCAAAAATGCTGTTTGGCAGGGTGGGAAGGTTTATGCACAGTGGCGTTATCAGCCACTATCTGCCAGGTGAAGAAATGTTTCTGTCCATATCAAAGATCAAAAATACACCTAGAGAGAAGGGGAGGCAGGCTCACTGGCATTTGGAGCCTGATCCTTACTGCCCGAAGGCAAGCCGAACAACTCCAGCAGTCAGAAGTCCTATGTAAACACAAGGGGGACAGCCTCTTGGGATCTAGAGATTCAGAGCCAACATACTTCCAACTCTCTTGGAGCAACTAAAAAACCTCAAAAGGCACTAAAAGCTAAATAAACACAGAGATATACAAAGAGGGAAGAACAAGGAAGCAAGCAAGGCAGACTGTAGATTCAGAAACACTAAACACAGAAAGGACAAAAGTCTCAGAGGAAAGTATAGAACTTCCTGACAGGAACTAGCAGTACAGTTAATTTTGGTTTTATTTTATTTTGAGGATTAATCTTTTTTTTTTTTTTGGAGAGGTTTTTGCTATAGGGCACTTGGGCTCACCAGAAAGAGACAGACAGAAAGCGAGAAATCCACCCCCCCACCAGGGGGATGGCCACGCCACAATCCCTTCTCCTCCCTTCTCTCAGGATCTTGGGCACGCACGCACACGCGCCCGGCGTGAGTTTAAGCCACTGGGTCTGGGACTTGAACCGCAGTCGACTACATGGGAGTCCAGTGACGTAGCCATTAAGCCATCTGCTGGTCCCAGAGGATTAATCTTTCCTTTTAAAAAAAAGTATTATTTATTTAATTTTATTTATTATTGTTTTTAATTTGACAAGAGAGGGAAAGTAAGAAAGCAAGGTTCCAGGTACCCAACTCGAAATGCAGTCAGCCAGCCATGTGGGAGACCAACTCCTTAACTTCCATACCACTAGAGGATTGTTCTTGAGTGGTCTAGCCCTAAAACAGAAAATGATACAGAGGAAAAGGATCACAGGGAGACTCAGACATAGATTTTGGGGGAAGGGATTGATAATTTCACCTCACAAGGCTTAGTGCTATCAGAATCTGATAGTAGATCTTGGGACCAGCAGTTAGAGTAATGGCTATGTCGCTGGACTCCCACGTAGTCGATCGCAGTTTGCATCCTGGACACGGTGGCTTAAAACTCACGCCGGGCGTGTGTGCATGCATGCCCAAGATCCCGAGAGAACGGAGGAGAAGGGATTGCAGCTTGGCCATCCCCCCTGGGGGGTGATTTCTTGATTTCTGTTTGTCTGTCTGGCAAGCGCACGCTCCCTATAGCAAAAACCTCTTAAAAAAAAAAAGAATCTGATAATAGATTTCAAAATCAAATCCCACATCTGGGGACAAGCAGTTAACATAATGGCTATGTCGCTGGACTCCCAAGTAGTCGACCGCTGTTCGAGTCCCGGTCCCGGGGCTTAAACTCACGCCGGGCACGTGTGCATGCATGCCCAAGATCCTGAGAGGAGAATGGAGAAGGGATTGTGGCATGGCCATCCCCCCTAGGGGGGTGATTTCTCACTTTTTGTCTCTCTGTCTGTCTGGCGAGCGCACGTGCCCTATAGCAAAAACCTCTCCAAAAAAAAAAAAAAAAGAAATAGTATCCCACATCTGATGTGCTGTCATGACTAAGTGTCAAACCAATCTTCTGAGGTAGAGAAACCAACAAAAAGTCCATGGAGGGGACCAGAAGGTGGCGTGGTGGTTAAGGTGCTGGACACTCCCACATGGCTGACCATAGTTTCAGTCCTGCACCTAGTGATTTGCTCTCTCTCTCTCTCTCTTGTCAAATTAAAAAAAAATTAATGAACAAATAAAATTAAATAATTCTTTTTTTTTCTTTTTTGGAGAGGTTTTCGCTATAGGGCACATGCACTCACCAGAAAGACCCCTTCTCCTCCATTCTCCTCTAGGGATCTTGGGCATGCACGCACACGCGCCCGGCATGAGTTTAAGCTGCCGGGTCCAGGACCTGAACCGTGGTCGACTACGAGGGAGTCCAGCAACATAGCCATTATGCTAACTGCTGGTCCCAAATAATTCTTAAAAATAAAGTCCATGGCTGGTAAATATTCGTCTCAAAGGCATGAAGAGGTAAACATCAAAAAGAACAGGACCACAGCCAGCAGATGGCAAAGCTATTACATCACTGGATTCCCACATGGCTGACGGTGGTTCAAGTCCCAGACCCACTGGCTTGAAACCCATGCCCGGCACATGTGTATATGTGCCCAAGATCCTGGGAGGATAACGGAGAAGGGATTGCTGTGTGGCCATCCTCCCTGGGGGGAGTGATTTCTCACTTTCCCCTCTCCAGCCAAGCACACACACCCTAAGGCAAAAAGAAACTCTCAAACAAATAAACAAAAAAGAACGGATTTCCTATTTCCTGTGGTACCTGGGTTCGGAATCTGTAGCCATGAAGACCTCTGGAGTATTAGGAGTACTCCTTACTCTTTTTCTCTCTTTGTCAAGAGAATTTTCATATAACCTCTGCTGAATCCTGGCTCCAGGTCCAACTGAGATGAACTATAGTACCTCACCTGCAACTTCAGCCAAATGAACTCCATTTAGGAAGCGGCTGTCCTGTAAACCTAATTGACCCCAATTTCTTCACGTTCCTTTAGCTTGTCATTTACATTAGCTATTACTTACTACATCCCAGTATCATGCTATGGTCAACGAAATTTTCCCATACTTTGGGTGATGAAAACGAGAGAGTATAACCGTGCAACCCAAAGGTCATTAAGACAGAAATGCTGAATGTCATGTCAAATTGAAAATTTGGCAGTTCATCAGGATCTGTTCTTCCTTGTTGGATCGCACAAATTTTATCCCTTCCTGTTGAGTGCAGTAACTTACAGACCATGGTACTCAGACTACTTGAAGATTTCCCCGCCTTTCAGAGATTGGACTATGCCTACGGATATCATCTTTTACCATTTCAACATGATCTTTTCACATGATAAACTTGCTCTGCCACCTATATTTATTAACTCCTTGGGTGGGAAAAAGCGGTCTCCAATTTTAAATGCAAAATAAAGGTACTTTTTAAAAATAAAAAATAGAAGAACAAGACCACATTATGCATTTTTGAATTTGGAGAGGTAGGTTTGTTTTTGTTTTTAGTTTTTCTGTAGGGCACATGCAACTTGTCAGAGAGAAGCAGAGAGGGAAAGA